GACTTCCCTGAATTGTCTGAATTGCCAATGACGGTCTGTGCTCTGACGTTGAATTTGATGGACGCTTCCTCTAGCTTTTACCCCCAAATTTGAGATTTTTCATGTTCTCCTCGTCAAAGTTGGTATGATTGTTCCGCGACGTCACGTTCCTGAAAAATCAAATTTAGATATTAAATACATGGAACAAGTGTTACTTAGCTCAAACATCAAATAACCAACTTGACTACTTATAAACCTAAGGGAAGACGGGATATGGCCGATGAATTCCTAAATAGAAATTATAAAATAACTGAAACTATCCTATTAATCAAAAACAGAAAACGAAATAAAAATCAAAGTAAAATAAGATGCTTGGGTTGCCTCCCAAGAAGCGCTTCTTTATAGTCATTAACTTGACTTTGGCAATTGCATCATGGAACTTTAAAGAAGGCTTTTGATGCCCTATCCATTTTTCTTCTTTTGACTTTGCTCCGCTCCTCGTTGTTTCTTTAGATCTCGTCGTTGTCATTTTCAATGTAATAGGATCTTTTTAGGCCATTCGATTCAAACTTAACAATGTAGACTTCAATCACTTCATCAGACTTAATCACAAAATCAATTTTCATATAATCAATGAATTCGGATGAATGTACGTTATTTTCATCTTCATTGATTTCTACATCTTCGTTTAGTTCCTTTGTGATCAAGTTCTCACTCATTTCAGGCTCTTCTAAGATCATTGAAATTTCTTCGGATTGATCGATTGATCCACATTCAAGATCCACAAGCAATGAGGAATCTTTCCTTTTAACCCCTTCAAGTGGATTGTATTTCCACCTTTTCAATTCACTCCAGTAACTCCAATCTCCAATCGATATTTTGCTCTCTTCCAAATTGGCCAGTTTATTGTAGTACTTTGCAATCACCCTCTCATTCAACATAGGAGGACCTTTTCCCGTAAGTATGATGTCTTCATCCCAATCGTCAGGTGCATAATCTTCCAAAGGCATATAGTCTTCATCAGAGTTGTCAATCACTTCTTGTCGACATTTTAAATAATGTATAAACCTTACAACCTTTATTATATGGGGGTTCATAGGTATATGCCAACAATACTCAGTGTAATGCATCTCCCAGCAAATCTGGCAGAAGACATTTTCTACAACCATGTCATTTGTATCTATGTTGAGATTACTTATTTCAATTGCTATGCTCTCTTGCCAATGTTGAAAACATGCATATATTATTGGGTAGTTCCTGGAAAGAATACCAAAAATGATTAGGGTGGATAGCCAAAATTAACAAAAAAACAAAAAATAAATTAAAAAAATCTAAATTAAAATAGAAATTACTTGGTAATAATATTAGTAAAAATCAAATTAACAATCCCCGGTAACGGGACCAAAAACATGCCACGCGTTTTATGCAACGTGATTTTATACCGCAAGTGTACGGTGTCAAGTTTTGTAATATAGTAATCGAGTAAAGAGTGTCGAACCCACAGGGATTGTAATTTAAATTTCACTAAGTACTATAATTGTGCAATTTCTACTTTATTTAGACAAATGTATGGTTGAATGGATTTAATGTTTTATGAGTGAATAAATTCAACTAATCTAACGTGAATTGGATGCGACAAAATTGGAGAATGCAAATTTATCAAATGAGAAGGCCTAGGGATTGATTTCACCTAACTTTCAATTATGATTCAAAGAATTCAAATTATTCCAATTAATTTTTCCATATTTAAAAGCAAAAATCCTAATGTATTTCTAACCCCCTCTCTCAAGCACCGATTAGAAATTAACCCTAGATCCCAATTCTAACATCTCTGTTCAAAATTGAAAATCAAGAATTTAATAAAGGTTCGATTCTTTTATGGAGTAAGCTTCACTGATTTATACTTTCTCTCGAAACATATAAATTCTATGTTGTATCACTCTTATGATCATGCCTAAATTCCCACTCTCTCGAGCGTCGGAATTGACTAGCACCAAATCATCCAATTGTTGATCGGGCAATTGAAAGCGTTAAAATCATGATACAATTAAATATAAGCGGGAAATCAAAGAAATAATTATAAAATCATCAAACCATAATCTTGATTCGGCTACATCAATCCCCTAGATAAATTGTTTAATTCATGGTGTAATAAATGAAAATCATACAAATTTTAATAAACAACATAAGGAAAAGGATAGAAAAAACTAGTCTTTTGGGTAGATCTTCAATCTTCTTCCTTGATATTGTTCCTCCTTCCTTTTGATGTCTTCAACTTTTGCCTCCTTTAAATTGTGTGATTGAATTCTTCAATCTTGCCCCCTTCCATCCCTTCCTGAAAATAGGGTTTTTGAATGATATTTATAGTATCTTAAAGTTATTGGACGAATTAGGGTTGAGTTGGGCCAAGAAAAGATTCCATAAATATAAAATTCCGTTTTTCCACGCCTTCACTGTTGTTTTCAGGTGCCCACTTCGGGTGAAAAAGACAGTTTTCGCCTCCTTCAGTATTTTTGTCATAACTTCTTCGTCCGATATCCGATTAAGGTGATTCAAGATGCATTGGAAAGGTAACTCAAAGGGCTATAACTTTTCTGAAACATCATTTTCCAATTCGATCGTTTGCTATGTCAGAAATAGGTCTCAATATGAGGCTAAAATTCTGGATCATAACTTTTCGATTGGAAATTGATTTGTGATCACATTTTGCCTAAATTTGATCCTTTTGACATCTTTCCTCATCCAATTGACTCCTAACACTCTTGGATCTTCATGGAAAGATTTGATGCAAGTTTGGATTATTTATATTTTAGTCCCCGAACTTTGGATCTTTTACAATTTGGCCCATTCTCTCCAATTTTGCCAACTTTTGCTTAATTCCTCCAATTTCATTAATCTACATCACAACATCAAAACACACATTAAAACATTCTAAAACACTCTCAAGAGTAGCAAAATAACAAATTAGGTGGCATAAATATCATGAGTGTAAAGCACTCATCAATGATTGTGACCTCCAAGTTAGTGTAACGATAGTCTTAAAGTCCTTACATTTGGGTTGGAGAGGCATTCAGGAGCTTCCAGCTCAGCAGCCAAAGGGTGGTCGTCTACAATCCAATTCCTTATTCCTGGAAAGGCTTTCGAAATCCTCCTGGCTACATGGCCATCTAAATTGGGTATTGCCTCGTAGACTCGAAACACTATCAAAGGACCTCTTAATCTATAATGATTGGACCTTTTACTCAACCCCTCTCTCAGAGAACTGATTAACGTGTCAAACAGTGACTTGCCCAATGGAAATGCGTTCATTTCATCAAAATCTTCAACCAGAACAAACAGGAAGTGTTCAACCACCTTCTCATAGTTTGTTGGATATAGAAATGAGGTGATAAAGTACAATGCTACAAGCCTAGAAACGTTCTCATCTGGAATGTCCCTTGCAGCAAGAAATGAGTCCTTGACATCTTTGTGTGTGACAACCTTCAAGGTACTGAAATATTTTTCTTTCAAGCTTGACGGTGACTTCTTGAATCTACTTGTATCATCGTTGCCTATTATCAGAGTCCAGAAACCAAACAAAATTCAGTGACAAAGAATCTCTCAAATATCCTTACAATGTCAAAACACAATTAATTCTTGCTTGGTTGTCGAACCTACCTCAATAGGAATTAATGAATCAACTGAGATTGAACCACGATTTCTTGAAAATCTAAAAAGTGATCGAAACACGTGTTACGAAATATGTTCTATTGTGTCTTGTTAAGATTTTATTGGAATTTGGTCAGCACAAGCTTGGTAGGAATAACTGTGATTTTTCCAGGGAACCAGTGATCCTATGGTATAATAAAGCTCCAAACTTGCATATTGATGACAAAAGCAGTAACAAATGTCACATACAAAAAGTACTAAAATCATAATACACAAGGCAACGAAGTCCATTTATGAGTCACATTAATAGTTGGTCACATATTGACATTCAGGTTACATAAGTGAGTATAGTAGTGACCAATATTCAAGTCACATGGATGTAAGATTATGCCATTGATATGCACCACAAGTTAACATATTGACATTGAGGACACATAAACGAATCAGCTAAAAATGAAGTACCTTTTTTGACAGGTCATAATCTTCAAACTGTATATTGGTCACAAATGAATGAAAAATGTTTTGGGCACATATGGATAGAGGACACTGCATATGCAATTCATCAGTATTCGGTCAATCACACAAAGACTGTAACAGATGAATATGCACATGACCCATAACTTGCAGTAGTATGGCACCCAACATGCTCACGACGAATTCGTATGTCATAAATTGAATCACTCCGCACAACAATCTCACAAATTGAACATAGCATGCTTCACAATTTAAAACACAAAAATGAATGCTCCCTACCAATCAATTTTAGGGGTTCGTGAATCAAAACCAATTTGAAAATAACACAATGGACTGCAAAAATACCTTCTTTGCAGTAGCCTTCGAGCCCGACCTAGAAGATTTGTGCCTTTTCAACGGGAAAACATTATGTGATTCCTCGACCCTTCTTTTACCTCTACCATCTGAGGAATCTATGGCTTTGTTCACCGCATTATCGCTCTTCGAACGAGCCATTATTCTCTGGTCCCACACACCAACCAAGTAATAATAACACCTGTAGAATGATGGTTACGAAGTGGGAGCATAATGTGCGTGTTGGCTGTGTTTGGGAGTTCACCGGAGGGTGGGGTCGTTGGCGTAGATGGCGAGGAGTTTACACAATTGTGAGAGTGATAATATGAACGTGGGATGTGGTTACGAACTATATGGAAGCTAGAGAGTTTTCTTAAAATAAAACTCTAAATTCATGGGATATGGTTGGAACGTGCATCTAAAAAGGTGAGATTTAAATATAATTTGTTATACATATATATTATAATTAAATTAATATATTTCTGATTTATGAAAGATAAAACACCCCCACCTGATTTGAGAAATCACATCTCCAAAAGTAGGGTGGGGTGTAATTTCCACAAGAATGAATATGGAATAAATGGCCCAAAAATGATATAGGAAGAATTACAACTCCGGGACATCAAATTGCACCACAATATAAACCTAACAGCCAAGAAAATTGTAAAACCCTATAAAAAATTCAGTCCATGAAACTGTCTACCCGCTGGATGTCCACACACTTAAAATTTACCATAATTTTAAAGGAAAAGCCTACAAAAACCAATTGCCCCTTCTTTAACTATCGTTCTCAAGAGTAGCCAAAACCCAAGGTGCCACAGTTTTTGCAGCCCCATTGACCATTCCACCAGCACGGCCGCTCATACGGTCAACATTGCCATTGATGTTGTCAGCCCTCTGATATCCATCATTCCTCCCCGACTACCACCTCCATATGCGAACTCATTCCTGGCATTAAAATCTCCACGACTTTAACCTCTGCCACCAGCTCCGCATCCTGTCGCTGCCTCATTTCTGAATCCAGAACCCCTCCCAGATTTGAACCTTCTCCTAGTGTTCCCTGCAACTTTTGAGATGAAATATTTCCCGCATAGTTTAATCTCACAATTGTTAAAAATACAAAGTATATAATAAACACTACTACAACAAATGCAACACTATCTTCACAGGCTGCCTCGCTGACTGCAGAGGAAAATAAAGCACACCCTTCTCATCTTAGGAGATAACAAGCATATTATAATTTCCATTTTAAAAATAGGAACCAACCTATTCAGATATTATTTCCACAGTTTCCATAATTTTTAAAGCAGAATAAATGAGGTGAGGAACATACAAGCTTTTTCCAAATTCAGTAGGCAAGGAAAAATAATATTGTACTAAACACATCATGCTATGGTTATCTTTTTATATTATTCTCAGATTTGGATATAAGCATAGACGTCATACTTTAATTGCAAACTAGTTAAACATCAACAGTGGCCTTTTGCCTTGAGAATTGGTAGATTTCTTTTCCCTAACAATTGCTTGACACCCACCAATTGCAAGAAGAGAAGCCTGAAACATCAGTAAATATAGGGTATATAACTGAAATGATCAAAATGTCGAACAGATCATGGAGATTAAGCTAAATTAATTAATATAACACTACAATAACAAACACCTTAAAATCATCAGCCACCCAACCCACTTCTTTTTCAATAGAAGAAGAAAAATGGAAAGGAACTGGACTGAGAAGGAAAGATCACAAGCAAATTTAACTCTTTAGAAAGAGAGCTTGTTCTTTTCCTGAAATATTTTACCCGGAACAACAATGAAAGTTATCCACCCAAAATAGAGTCATCTTTGCAACATTGGATATCATGCCAAACTCCATTAGAACGTTATGGTAATGACAGCGAATTACTTTTGTACAAGGAACAAATGCCAGGGAGTATATATAAGGGTCATAATAATGAATAAATTAGGCATAGAGTCCGTCAATAGTCCATGTTCGGATATGCCTACGAAATTTTTATTTTGGCGTTTTCCTTTTTGCTGGAGTTCCTAGAGTATTAGGATCATCATTTATGATATATGTATGATAAAAATTGTGTTCATAACTTTATTCCCCTTCCACAATTTCATTTTGGCCGAGAAACCATGGCAACATAATGTAATAATTATAATACTGATAATATTAGTTAAAAAAACGAAGATATCCTCATATGCACTTAAGAATGTATTTTTTAGCACAAAACACCACATACCTCAATAGCATTTTGTGCAGCATTAGCTTCCTCAAATTCCACAAATCCAAAACATAGGACAGATTTAATATAAATTTGAGTGCTGAGAGAATAAGCATTCGTTATGCCACCTATTTCTGTATTAATATAGAGCATGCCAACTAATACGCACTCTGTTACTTCTAACTTGAATGCCATCCTTCTTGATTACCCCAAATTTCTCAAACACTTCAAGTAAGGACTCAGTAGCAGTCATCGGTAGGCCATTTATATATATCGAGTAACCATCAGCTGCTCAAAGTAAATAACACGATTTTTGAATTATTTCAAATCACAATTTATTAATTGATAATAAACAGGCAATAAATTATTAGCCATATCATGTTCTCACCATCTTTATTATTCCCAATATCAATTGCAACAGAACTAGAAAAGGTGCATCGGTTGGCGGTGGTAAATGTGTATTCACTTGCTCTGTGATCTTTGGGGGAGCTTTCTGAGGATCATGTGGTGGCAGTGAGAAATTTGCAGTGCTTTCCTTGAGATGCGTCGCCTAAAACATATTGCAAAAGGTAATAGTGAACTACTGATGGATTGAAAAATAGGCCAGAAAAATAAAATAGATTCAACTAAATGAAATGTCAAATCTCAGTGTCAATCAGTAATAAACTAACTGGGGTTAATTTTGCTAGGATCTAGCTCATGTTTTCCTTTTTAATTTCTTCTAGATGTACCATAAGAAAGTAATACAATTATGTAGAGATCAAGGTAGCAAAAAAATATAACAAGGTGAATGGATAAAGGAAAAACTAAAGGTGGTAGACATCTTGTAGACACTTACAATAGAAGCATAAGACTTCTTTTGCACTTCTTCAATTTGTGGACTAGATTCAACCACCATTTGAAAAATCTTCCCATACTTCATCAAAAACTCAGCTACTCGAATTTCTTCTTTTGGAATTTCCTCTTCAACGATTGGAACATCTACAATCTCATACAAGGTGGAAGCTTCTCCCCCATAAGCTTCATCAGTAGATGAACTGCTTCGCAGAGAAGCGTGAATCTCCTGAAGCGGAGCTGGACCTGCTAATGATGAAACAGAAAACAGATTTTTTTTTTTTTTGTCCAAACAACAGTGTAAAATAAAATGGAACAAAGCATTAAATTTTTGTTACTTAGCTCTGGTGTAATGGGCCTCAAAACATTGCTGACCACAGCAGGGTTCACATTGAAAATCCCCATATATAAGAAAATGTTGTTCAGAACAAAGTAGCCGTTATACTGTGGAATGGGAAAGAATGTTTGACAGAAATTCCTAAATGTATTGCCCTTCCCAGACAGATATCCAGTCACCAGGACGTGAACTCCCCCATTAAAGGACTCTTGTGCATCCAGAGTGTTGATCTTAGGCCTTAAGTGTCCATAGTTCAGTGACAGAATCTTCTCATTGATTGCCTGTATTCTCATATCCAACAAAATTAAGAAACTTTTAACATCTCAAATTTCAAATTTAAATAACTCAACCATTTGCTTCTTAATTGAATGAGTCTTCAAAATGACAGGTAATAAAATAAATACACTTGTCAATAGCAGAGATCTCACTGTCTAGGACCTAACAAATAGAAACTTGGATATTACTAAACATCATAAAAAATTTACAAAGTCGGTCCCTGCCCTTCTTTCCTTGCACCAAACTTCTTAGCAACAATGGCCAGATATATAAGCTTCCTATACCTAATCATTTTCAGCTTAGTGCTACCAGGTTTCGACGATAACTAATATACAATCTAGCAATCCAATTAAGCACATAACAAGAGACAGAAATTTTACTTGCAAAGTGGTGGTGATGCTCATGGAGCCATCATCTTCAGGACAGCCAAGCTTACTGACGTTGTTATACAAATTAGGAACATGCCCCGGCGAACGGTGGAGTATGTAATAATATTGGTCTACAAACGCATACCCAACCTATTTCCCATCCACCAAAAAAAAAAAAAAAAAAAAAGAATCTAATAATCATAAAGTGCGGCCGCCAAAATATAAATTCACGAGAGAGAGAAATAAAATGAATATTTACAGTTTGAGCTTGCTGAGCTACCATACCGAATGCTGAATAACCAAATCAAGCCCTAACCACCAATCTGTAAGTGGTGATATACTTGTAGCACAAACGTTCCTTCTAAGGTACCTTTTAAATTCACTTGCAAAACTAACAGTAATAAAATCTTCCCATAAGGACTATTTTGACATCTAAAGGGATAATAAATTCAAGATGTCTTCACCAAAAATTTGGAGGCAATTGTCATGGGCTTGGAATTTTTGTCAATCACATTTAAGCACTACAAAAACCAAGACTATTTTGATGTCTAAAGGCATAATAAATTCAAGATGTCTTCCCCAAAAATTCGGAGGCGAGTGTCACGGGCTTAGAATTTTTGTCAATAACTTAAGCACTACGCATACCTTAATATCGTCAAATTTCTACCCTTCGTAAAAACACGTTAGATCAACCTATAATGTAGTTCTATGATCAACTAAGCTTCAACATAAAACCAAGAGACCTAGTACAAAGGTGACAATATATCGTTAAGAGGTACTTAGATAAGAAAATGGGAATTCTCATATATCAATTGCAAGAATTTAAGGGAATATTAGGGTTTAGCCTTGAGTCAAAAACAATGTAAAAAGATTGTTTTTTTCCAATTTCTAAACTAATGACCTCATGATTATTATGATGAGAATGTGAATGTCGATAGAGACGAGGTTGATAACATGGATGTACGTTCATATTAATATGGATAGGAAAACAAATGAGAATGTGTACTATTGTTGACTGATGAAAAGTTAAGGGAATGATGACCTAAATGGTTGACATATTTTCAGTAGGGAACACCACATTAGTCCTTCATTTAAAAATCATATTTCAAAACTAACAAACTTCAAAAAATATTTCAAAAATAAGGTGATAATTAAATTTATTAAATACTTAATTATAATATAATATAATTAATCTACTTATTCTACCCCATCTCCAACCTATCGACCCATCACATTAAACCATTCTCTTTCTCTCTCCATCCCACCTCACTTCCAGCGACAGCTCCGGCAGCTTCTTCGGCGACTTCTGACAACGGCTCGGACAGCTTCTCCGACAACAACTCCGGCAGCTTCTCCAGCGATGGCTCCTGCTGCTTCCAGCGACGACTCTGGCAACTTTCGGCGACGGCTCAGTAGCTTCTCCGACAACTTACGACGTGCGACTTCAACACTTCTCCGGCAACTTCCAGTGACTTATCCCGTTCCGACGAATATTCCGATGACCTCTCCAACTGTTTCGACGACTATTCCGGTGACCACTCATTGGCAATGACCTGTGACCAGTTGCATAAAATCTGTGACCTGTGCACATTCTCATCTGTGATCGGTTTTATTGAATCTGTAACCTAATCAGGTGGAATGAATATGCACCTGATCAATTTCAAAATTAAGAAATAAAGTTTGAAATTTCAAAAATCAAATAATATTAAAATTTTAGTTATGAAATAATTAATCAAAAAAATATTTTTGTAATTAAATATATTAAATTCATAATTTTTTTTTCTTGGCAATAACTTGTGACTTGTGTACATTGTGACATATAAAATATGATTTTTAACCTGCGATTTGTTACTCGTGACTCATAATATAAAATGTGACTCATAAATTTGATCTGTGACTTCTACAAAATGACATGTGACCTGTTTGTACTGAGTTGTGACTTATACGAAATGACCGTGACTCGTGAGCTCAAAAATGTGACTAGTGAACCTTGACCTTAACTCTGTTACAAATCAAAAATTTTATGGGTCACAGATTATGTATCGATCACGAATCAAAATTTTTATAGATCACAGACTATACATCACTCAAAAATCAAAACTTTTATTGATCACAACTCATTTATTCATTGCAAATTATCAAATTAATTAACCACAATTATTCATTGCAACTCATTTTTACAAGTTTGTAACCCATTAATATGTTGACTATGACCTTTTGTGACCAAGTATGCTAATTGTGATCTATTGTGACTAGTAATGTATTGGATGTGACCAGTTGTCTAATTGTTATATCTGACAAAAAAATAAGTGCCCGTTTGATATTGATTTTTCTCCCTAAAAAATCAAAATTTTGACCGTTATTTCACTATTTTAGCCGTCATTTTTTATTTTTCTCTCATGGATAGAACTCACTTTTCTCTCTAAAAGTCAAAAAATAAATTTTCAAAATCACTACCGAAAAAGCCTTAAATAGCATTTGAACAGTTACTTATGGTACAGGCATACAATAGCAATTATTTAATATCTTGCTCAACCATTTTACACCCAACCCAAGCATCTTTAAAAAAAAAAAAAAAAAAAAAAAAAAAGGCCACCAAACTCAATTAGAACCTTAACACATTTTGGTTCCTTAAGCAGCTCAAATGCATACAGAAATTAAAATATATAAAATATAATTTTTAACCTATAATTTGTGGGCAATAACCTCTAACCCATTACAACATGTAAAATATGATTTTTTGTGATTTGTTACCCGTGACTCATAACATAAAATGTGACCTATAATTGATCCGTGACTTCTACAAAACGACATGTGACCTATTAATATTGATTCGTGATCCGTTTATACTGATTTGTGACTTTTATGAAATGGCTGTGACTTGTGAACTCAAACATATGACCAGTGCACTGTGACGTTAACGACAAATTGTGATCCATAACGTATAAACTATGATCTTTTGTGTTCATGACCAAATTTGTCTTCGGTGTGATTGTTTGTGACCATGGTAGTCTAATTTGTGAGCAACTCACATACGGTCACTGTTAACACAAATCTGATCACAGACAGCCACAACGAAGATATATTTGGTCACTCACCACCATTCCCAACACCGACAACCAAACGTACACCACCTCATTAGAACCACATGTACTACCAACTAGTTCACTACAATCATTTTTGCCGCTGTTCTAACTAGCCACTATTCAATTAAAGAACTCTATTACTAATTCAGACAAATGTTTTGAATTTGCTCTCATGTTCATCGAAGATGAATCTTTTAGAAATGAAACAAATTAAACGAACCAGGTGACTTTTGGCGAAGGAGCACATGGCAAATATTATCCAAAATTCAGGTTTGCCCCGTGGTCATTCGTGTAGTTCCTAATCGAATTTTCAATTGCACACAACAATTTGGGATTTTCTAGAAGTCACTCCCTAATCGCCCAATGGAATTCTCTTCAGAGGTTACTATGGCGTTGGGTTTATTACTGGCATCCTAGATTCTGGTAAATAGTGAAAATGCACCGAAGGTGATGGAAAATAAAAAAATTGGTCTAATCTTTCCTCCGTTTTTTTAGCGCAGTGGATATGGCCTGAATATGAAAGCTTCAAAGATGATAAAATGGAAGTTGTTCCTTATCGTTTGAAAGGGATATGCTAGGAAGGTGAGGAATTTAACCGACGATGCAGAAGCCTGGGGCATCATCACGTCGCTACTGGAGACGAAGACAAAGGTGTCGCAGATAAAGGCATCGCGTCGCTTACGACGCCACTTCACCAACGGACCAATTGATTCAAAGCGCCACCGCGATGGTGGCGATGTTGTGAGCGGCGACGACAGTGGTGACTATATCTCCGGTGCTGATTTGCAATAGAGACATGAGAAGATATAGAGAGAGAGAGAGAAGGGATAGGGTGGAGAGAGAAAAGGGATGGGAAAAATGATTAGGGTTTGGAAATGAAACTGTATTACTTTATTAGGTTTAATTAACTTTTATTAATTATAATTATTAAAATCTAATTACCACCTAATATGTGAAATTTGAAATGATCCCTCTTCTTTACGAAAACAAATTTTTAAAAGTAGGTTTCTACATAATTTTCCCTTTACAATAAGCCTAAAAGTATTTTGTCGATGTTTGGGCTCCATTAAAACTGACTTTGTTAGAAAAATGTAAAATTGTGATTTTTTGAAGAATGTGTGGTTGGACAAAAAGGGAAAATTTTTGAATTTACGTATAATATTATTTTATTAAAACAATAAGCAGTTAAAAATAAGAGAGAAAAATACATTTTGAACAAAATGGAGCCCAAACAGGAACTTTCATTGATCAAAGTGGTGCAATCACGATAAACCATGTGAAAAATGGGCTAAAAATAACATGTAAATAATTGTTAAGCGTATAGTTCAATTTAACTATGAACCTAGCAGAGTGGTAGAAGAAATATTCAAGTGACAACCACAAATTTCAAGAGTAAATACTTAAACTATTATCTAAATTTGGTCTTTGCAACTCAATTAGACTATTATCAAAATATGCTCCATTCCTGCAATAGAGGAAAGGAAGAATCTGCAAAAGATATTTGGCAGGAAAATGAAAATTATACTCATTTTGGAAGGAACAAAAAAATGTCCACAGTCTACGTTTTATTTTACTTTCTTGACTGCTTAATAAATGAAACCTTGTAGAGTTAATGGTAAAACAAGCCTCGAGAAGGAAAAATGTAACAACCATCAACGAAAAGACCAGACTATTGATTATCTAAACATTGTCAACCCCTCACCCCATCCCACCATCTGGGATGTAAGTCGCAAATGACAAATGCAATGCGGCCGACCCAGTAGATTCTACGCTTGGAGAACTTCGAATTCAGTGCCAATCGGAAGGTGATCGCTTGGATGGTAGTAGTTGGGTAATCCGCCGCTTACATCAGAGGATTCATGTTCTGGAAGCTCAAGGTAGCTAACTGGTTTTATGTCTTTAGAAGGGGAAAATAGTATGTAGTCCAGGGTTCCAGTAAAATCTGGTGTGCAATTAGTAAACTGTGGCTCTCCTCTTGTGAATGCATATACACTAGACAATGGAATCGGTACATCTTCAACGGTTTCCACCCCCTCCAAAGTGGTCCCAGAAACAATGTACTGATACACCTACAAAGGCCAAAATCTTTTAAGAAATACTAAATTATTTTCCTGTGTTGCACAGACACTTCAACTAGGGTAGATTGTTTGTATCCGATACATTGGATACCGATACTTCTCAAACACTCTACTGTGATTATTTTTCTTTGTTTAGAAGAAATATTATGTATTTTTAACTCAAAATTATTATTAAATAATAAATAAGTACTCATATTTAAATGATTTCAACAAGAAAATTTAATAACAAGTGTAAAACTAAATTTATGCTATATAAATAAAGAATTTTAAAGAATTTAGTCAACGTAACAACAGTTTTTCAAAAAATTGTGTCAACATTCGTGTCGAACAAACCCATATTGTGCATCATAGTTATTTTCTCAGAAAATTTGTAGGTTTAATATTCACAAGTCATACTAAATGACATGAAGAATTGTGTTCTACTACTATATTCTCAAAATAACAGATATCCACGTGCTAGCTATGTAACATAAATTTATAACATCATTTTCCAAGATGAATGAAGCCACTGTTTATTAACAAATCATGGTTATTATTTAGTTGTAAGAGTCTAATCCCCCTTATTTTTCTTTCTTTTCGCTGATATATGTCGCTGTTGCTTCATGTTTCGAAGTAAATCAAGGAAGAGGGCATGGCTGTTCTCATTTTCAAGTCGAATTTATTATTATTTTTGATATGTAAGTCGGAAATGTGAAATATACACAAGCGGCTAAGTAATGAGCGAGTTACATAACGTGCAAGAATAAAATACAGAAAAGACCAGCCAACCTGATCTCCAGGTACTGAATTGAAGTCACCAGCAACAAGTATTGAAGGGGTGCAATCAAATTTATCTGCTACCAACTTTTTGAATTCCACCAAGCATGAAAGCAGATATTTAGCCTGCGCAAGCTTTACATCAGCCCATTCTGGATCCCTGCAGCAGCAATTTCTTTCAATATACGAAGCGAATTTGAGCAAAGATACAACAGTACATTAAAGGATTTTTCTTTAGTAAATTGCATTTCATCAGAAAGTGTAAATCTTTGTATGAAAAGCAGAATATAAATATATACTAACTTCTACAACATTTTTCAGAAAATTAATCCAGCAAAACTGTTCTCCAAACAAGTGAATAACACAAAGAAATATTATATCATTAGATGTAAAATAAGAACTAAATTCTGAACCACCTTACCAATAGAAATGAGTGTTTGCAATAATAACATGATGACTAGAAGGGTTCTTAAATCTAAAGGCAGCCATGATTCCAACGCAATCACGCTTTAATCTCACACGAGGATCATTATGATCTCCATGGTCATTTTGAGTGTCTTGCAGCTCTAAACCTGAAATAATAAATTGCTAAAAGCTAGAGGTTTGACAATATAATGTAGTATTGCAGAATGAAGTCAATGACGTGGTGCATCAAACAACCATCATAGCTAAATAAGTCGCACGAAGAACTCATTTGAAGAACTACTTAGCCAACCGAGAAAATCCAATTACGAATTTAATCAAACTATTTCAGTTGTTCAACTAATGAATACTGTATCTTTTGCAACAATCTAAATCCAATGATACATTACGAAATTGTCTCTATCACCAACTTTTTGCATATAAATCTGAAAATTTCCATTTTCATGAATAAACATAGTCTCAATGAAATTGAACCAGATAGCTTTGTATCATATTATCAACATGGGTCATGAAAGGTTGGATGTAAATTGGTGTTGTGATTACCATGTGGAGATTTATTTCACAGAGCTGACAACAAAACAGACTCACGTTACCAGTTTTCCACCTTTTGCTAATTGTACAAGAGTAATTCACCAAACACCAAGGAAAATTTAGAAGGAAAAAAGGGAATTAAAGACCGCGTAAGAATTAATTTGACAAGTTACCATCTTTTAACTCACTTTCAGTCTCATGAGTCAGTAAATCACAGTCTTTATCCATGAATGCGGTTCTTCCATCTTGAACTGAGTTCACCAGATCATTGTAGTCTATCTTCTCTTCTATGACTAATTCCGCACTAATTGAAGCATTAAAACATAAATGTTGGATCAATTGAGCTAGATGATTATAAAATAACATATCAACAAAATACATGAAATTTCATTGCTTTGACCTAATTTGATGTGTTTTAAGATTAAAATTCTTAAGACTCCGACCTGAGAGAGTTAACAAAATAAAACAAGATTGTTAAGAAGAAGAGTGACCAATAGTAATATTGACCTAAAATTATTTATATTTAGATTATAAAACTTATTATCAAGTATTTTAGATATCCTTTATTGTGGACATAAAATTGATCCAAATGTAAATGTTATTAATTTATTTTGATATAAAATAAGAGAAGAATGAAATTCAGCATACATGTTGTGCTTGTAGAAGATTCCACATCCATCCTTTTTCTTCCCACTTCTTTGAGTGTAGATACTTGCATAGCCAAGGCTCTCCATATTCTTTCTATAGAAGCTATCATACTCATCTACTTCCTAATAGGGATTGAATATTAATTAACGACAGAAGCGAAATGAATGAGAATAAAGAATGTCAAAGAATATACAAACAATAAGTTCTAAGATAATCATATTGTAAAATATGAATGAGAAAGCAAAAGACACCTGTAGACAATAAAAATCTGCCTCAAGACTCTTGAGAACGGTTAAAATTGCTTGAGAACGTGCTTTCCACCTGTCGTCCACAAACTTAATAAGCTATAACTCTACATTTATACCAATTCAAGTAATATGACCTCTAATAATGAGATGCGTATAGACATGATCATGAATGAGAGAAAACTATTGATTAACTGAAATGACCAAAAGATTTGAAGGACTAAAAAATGTGTTGGCAATCATAAAGAAGCACGGGTATATAGGTATTGTGTAATTAACTTATAATTTTCATTCAGGTGATTTAAATGCTAGAACTTAATTACAACTACCATTAACAACACTACAAATTTTTCAATCAGCTTAACAGTTGAGGACATTTATCAAGGGAAAAATAAAAATAAATAATTATCAGCCGTTAACTCTATTGCAATGGGAAATAGAAACTGAAAATGCATGTAGAAACTAGATTAACACTAGGCAAATGGGGCTAGAAACTCAAACTCCATGCAGAAACTAGAAAGTAGATGACCAAAGATCAAGTCATATGAATACTCCACCGAAAACATCTACTTCAAGTCATTTTTAAATTGAACAGTAAAATGCCATATGTATAGAGTTCCTTCTTAAAAGGTCAATCTTGGTAAGAAAATAGCCCAAGTCCTTATATGTTGATTATAGTTTCAATATTTAATTGATGTGTATCTTAACCTTTAACATACCTCCCAAGATAGTTGCTCATTTGAAAACACTAATCTTGGATTCCGTGAGTTCATTTGAATCTTAATCATGTGTTTGTTTGAATCTTAGTCAGATTAAATTGCTTATGCGACATTAATAGATTCAGATACACATTAGAACTTGAAATTCTATCTTAAAAGTTCAACCTTGTTCAAATGAGAAGTCCTTATATATAGATTATAGTTTTGATATTTAATCTATATGGGATATTTAACATGCAATACTGAGTGTTGCTTAACTTTGTAAGTTATCAAAAAGCATCTTCTTAGTATTCTAAATTTATTTCAACAACCAAATGAAAGCGTAGATTGTCCTATGTGAACAATAAAATGTGGGTTTGCCTTCGACAAGGAAGAGTGCTCGCTATACAAGTTCATAACAAGCTTCCTAAAATATCTAATTGAAAACTATATTAAGTGTTAACTATAAATTATTTAGTTTAGCTTGCTTAATATATGTAAGTTTTGTTGAGAATGGGTATATTTTCCCAGTTAAGCGTTCATATTTCCAATTTCTAGAAGGGGGGCAAAAGAAGAACAAACAAAACAAAAGTAAAATCTCAAGAAAAAATTATAGAATAGGCAATATTACCAACTTGTTGAAGTGCTGAATGTCAAAAAGCTTAGCTAAGACATTATTGTAACCCAACGAAACTGGAAAGAAAGGGTTTTCATGAAGTAGGCGATAATTCTAACTAAATATCAAGTATTGGTATGCATTAGCTATGAAGTTTATACATCTTTCTAATCTTAGGAAGCTAGTCCAGGGTATCAAGTCATAAACAAAATTGATATTTACGGTTTTCCTTAAGAGTGATTGTGGAAAGTTGGAATGTGCAACTCCTCACACTAATAAAATTTGATTTTTAAGGATTTCCCCTGCTAAGTTTTTGAGAAGCATGCATCATAAACAAGTGATCACATTTTTAAAAGAGATTAGCATTTATTAAAGGCCTCAAAGCTTGTGCTTTGAATGCTGTTTGTCAGGGCTTATGTTCTTGTTTGGGAGTAATTATAAAAATATTATAATAAGTACAAGTAATGAATACCACGATATGTGTGGATAACAAGTGACTACTAGTTGTGACGTGTGGTTGAAACTAATTTTTGAATACAAATTACAAGTAAATTATAACTTTTTTACAAACAAGCACTATGTTTCTACTTACAAATAAACGTTTTATTAATTGAACTTCTGAAAAAGTTTTAGATTGTTTATCCTTTATTATGAGCATAATTTTGTAATTTTTAAAAATATTTTATTGATATTTTGTTGTGACTTACGCATCAAAAGTGCCTCAAAGATTATTCCTTACCGCAAGGAGGACAGAACATGATTTTGTCTTTCTGAACATTACAAGTCACAAATGAAAATACTTTGAAGCGGACAAAAGTGTATAATTATTAACAGTTCATTTAATTTATAATCAGAGCATAACTAAACCCAAAAAAAAAAAAAAAAAATTCATTTGGCAGCATAACATCAAAAGATATAACAATTAATCCATAAGGAAGCAATTTTGAAGGCAAGTTACCTACCTAAGACAAGGAGATGGAGAGTATGGAAAGAAAACACTCCTCACATACGACTGGATAGATCAAAATAAAAATTATTAGTGAAAACGTTGAGAGGAATCCAATAGCTGGATACAGAAAAAAAATATGGAGAGTATAGGATGTGAAATGTCATTTGTGTTGAAGTTAAGAAACTAAACCAGTTTGGCAGCCTTTCATTTTAGAGCTGATGTACTATAATTGAAAGCAGAAGAACTAACCACCGACAAGAGGGAAGAAAACTAAATCAGAAAGCTAAGAGTCGACATGATTGCATTTCTAAAACTTGTTTTTTCATAGGTTCCAGTACAAAGGAAACCTTAATTCTTTTATCAGTGAACTTGAAAGTTCTTTTTATAGTTATCGAAATTCTAGTTATCTAAATAATGGATCTACGAGTGAAGCTAACCATCGAGACTTTGGAACTATCTGGACACATACTTTGTGAAATAGTTCTCATGCAGGTTTGTTACAAAATAAATAATTAAAAAAAAAAAAACAGTTAACCTTATCCAATTCTACCAATAAACAATGAGATGTCTACATACCCGAGCCAAAATATTATATGATACAAGTCGGAAATTGAAGCCTGTAGAATTGTGCATAAAGTGAATCAGGAGTAACAAATCCAAAAACATGCCAAGTGCATGATTGCAAAAAGGTTTATTGATAAAGGGAAAGAAAACAAAAATGTATTCATTAACACTAAATGCACCTACCATCAGGCTTACTTATTGAAGAAATTTTGCTTTGCTCGATCGGTATAAATTTTCGACATAGAGGTCTAGGTGTCATACTCATCTTGCTGCAATGAACTACCTGTAGATTTTGGTTCACATAAGAGAAAATAGAAAACTAAAAGATCAAAAAACAAAGTTTACTCATCTTTTGTAGAAACTATTTCCACAATATTAAAGCTTCCAAAAATCAATATGAAATTGGGAAACTGATGGCAAATTGCAGTAAGTGGGTCGGTCGCATTTCCATGAATTATGAGTGGGATGCCTTGTCAATAAGGCTAGAATATTGGGCCATAATTTAAAGAATGTTATTGAATAATTTAGTACTCATTTGGCAGTTTATTTGTGATCGTACAATTGGCTTCCGCTAAATTTTGTTTGATTATGGTTTGATTTCACATCTCCATTTTTATTTATTATTATTATTATTTTTTTTGTATTTTGTCATATTGGTAATTATTTGTTTATTTTAAAATGGTTGAAAATCGAGACGACTCTCTTCAATCTATTAGTGTGCAATTAAATGGGAATAATTATTCTTATTAGAGTTATGTGGTGAGGAATTTCTTGAAGGGCAAAAGTATGTGGGATTATATTTTGGGTAAAACCTAAAAATGATAAGGTTGTCAACTATGTGGAGTTGGTAGATAATTGGGAATTTGATAATTCGAAGAATATTACTTGGATTAATAATTTTGTTGTGTAGTCAATTAGCACACAATAGGTTAACTATGATAATGCAAAAGAAGTTTTGAAGCATCTAGCTAGACTGTACAAGCATTTTAACTTTGAAAAAGAGTATCAATTAGAGACAGATACTCGCACAGAAAAGTATGAGTGTTCAGGAGCTTTAGTCAATTAGCACACAATTGGTTAACTATGATAATGCTAAAGAAGTTTTGAAGCATCTGGCTAGACTGTACAAGCATTTTAACTTTGAAAAAGAGTATCAATTAGAGATAGATACTTGCATTGAAAAGTATGAGTGTTCAGGAGTTTTACTCTACTACGATAGATTAATGGGATTAATTGGCACTCAAAAAATCTACAGATTTAAAAGCATATTTTCCTTATATCGCCCGAAGGGAAGAACAACAACTACTACAATTTTTGATGATCTACGTGATATTTTAAAGGTTGCATCACATTCTTTTTCCTTCTGTTTATTTTGTGGTTATTAAATTGTTAGCCGAGGAGATACTCTTCAAATCTCATGCAGATAAAGGACTACTCCATCAGTTTTCATAGCACCTCAGAGAAACGCTAGTAATCAAAGTATGCTGCCTTCGAATGTTGCTCATGATGAGTGTCATTTTTGTAAGCAGAAGGGTCACTAGAAGTGACAATGACCTCTATTGTTAAATAGAGCTATACAATAGCAAGCTTAACGACAATAACAATAGCGAACTCAATAGCAACAGCAACGATAGGCTCTTTCGCCCTGGAAATTTGGAAACCAGCCAATTCAACCTGATACTGTAGTGGTTGCAACATTAGTAGATACACTGATGTTTGAACAGTTTCAAAAGTTTCAAGCAACGCAGTCAAATGTAACATCGTCTAATGCAATGTCTGCCTCTCACCATAGTTGATATATTTGAGCATGCTCGTCTTACTGATAATAAGACCGTTGATACACCTCTTGAGTTTAATGCACGGTATTCTGGTTATGATGGTTCTCAATTATCAAATCCTAGTTTATATCGTACTGTTGTTGGTACCTTGGTTTATCTCACCATCACTCGTCCAAATATTCCACATGCTATTCATATAGTTAGTCAATTTGTTACCTCGCCTATTACAGTTCATTATGTTGTTCTTTCGTTTTGAGGTACCTTCAGGGCACTCAGTTTCAGAGTCTGTTACTTTCCTCTACCTCTTCATTAGAATTGCAAGCATATTCTGAAATTGATTGGGCTAGTAATCCTACAGATCATTAGTCTACTATTGGCTTTTGTATCTTTCCTAGGGGTTATCTGGGAAAAGCAAGAAGCAAGATACTATTTCTTGATCTTCTACACAAGCAGAGTATCATGGCATGACTTCTACCACTTGCCAGGTAGTTTGGTTACGTTGGTTTGGTTGCAGATAAATGTTTTTTCACACTTTTTATTTATGTTTTGTAAAATGTGATGGAAAAATAAATTGTGTTATGCAATTTCAATGGACATTGGACATAAAATTGTTATCAAATACAAAATGAATTAACTAATGAAAAGTTTGAGGATAAAAATATATGAATATCTGTTAGGGACACAACTGTTATAATGAGCAAAGATTAAGAACCTTAAAAATGCAATTAAGCCCTTCAACAGTGATTTGACACTATTTCATTTACACATTTTTCAATAAAATAATATTACACGCAAATCCAAAACTTCTACTTATTTTTAATCACACATTTTTCATTATAACATTATTTCAAAATGCATTTTTTGAGAAAAATGGGGCTCAAACAACCCCTAAAATGTCGCAAAAAAAATAAAAATTGTGGTGTGAATATAATTACCCCTTAAAGTTTCTTTTCTTCGTATTTTCATTCATTCAATTTATAAGATAAACCCTAGCCTCCTTTTGTTTTCCTATCTATATTTTTTCGTACTAATAATGTAACAAGTACAAGCTCTCTAGCATTATAGATATCCTAAATTGAAAATAGAGAACATCAGAGTAGAAACTCTTAAATCCCCGTGAGCCTGGTTCATCAAGTTTGACTTACTTCAATTCATTAACATGCATACCACCAAGTTTAAACTCACATAAAATTTAAAGATCGAATAGTTTAACTCGCAAAAGTTCTACTTAAGAAGGTGAACAATTTACAAAGAATTGAATAAATGCGTTCAAAACAATTTCAGCTCTTCTAATTTTCACAATTTATAAAACAGTGAAGATGTATATATATAGATCAAGTTTGATTCTCATTCTGTGCGGTTCTGTAACGACTATATTTTTCCACTATATTTGACTTTCTATCTCTTGTGCGGTTCCGTAACGGCTATATTTTTCATTCTCATTCTTAGAAAAATAGGAGTCAAATGGGCTTATGGTTCATTTGCATCCATGTAAATCCAATATAATTCACTTAACTTGTTATTATAAAAAAATAAATCAAATTCAATTGATTGCTCACTTCAAGCAAATTATGACTCTTTATAAGCAAGGCCGGTCCTATAATTGTCGAGGCTTAAGGCAGAGTCCAAAAATTAGACCCCAAAAATCAACATAAATGCAAAATTCAACTGCGTATTATGTTATCTATTGCTAACTTAAAACTTAACATTAAAACAATAAACAAATATCTCAATCATCTCACAATTAATGCAATTTCATTTCCCTTTTCTCTTTTGAGCACCAGACTCATATTTAGTAGGCATAGTATACAAGTCTATATCTAATGTCCAATGATTAACGTAAAAGACAATTACAAAATATCTCAATCATCTTACAATTAGAATTTTCAATATAAGTACTACGTACGCCTGTGCAATTGATCTTACAATAACAAATCACATGAGCCGACCAGGCCGCAATTATATAAGTCGACAAGGCTTCAAACATTTTCAAATATTCAATAACAAGTTAGGGCAAGTCATTGCTTACTTGAGAAGTAGAATTTCGACGAAAATTATGAAATCACACCTTTGAGAATTCTACTGTCACAACTCATAAGTCTGAAATAAAAATTTAACATCAAACACCAATACAAATATACAATTCCATTGCATTAACTTATTCATAAAAAATTTAGAATCCTATTGCAAATTGCAATTTAATTAGAAATCCCACGAAATCAAAAATAAAAAATCTTGAGCTTTTCAAACTTAAAGAAAAAAATTGTAATCAGTTGCTTTTCAAACTTCAAAGATAACTTCCTGAGCTTACACAGTTTTTATGCTCAAAGTAAAAAGTAGACAAGTCCGGTGACATGAATTCGAGTAAAAATAGACGTGACCAATTGATTTAAATCTCAAAACATCAAATTCTACAATTCTAAACAAAAAATTCCTAACATATAGGGTTGTGATCACAAAATTCCTTAACAGCTCGACCATAAAATTCATCATGAACACATAGATTAAAACAATTTTAAAACTTAACTTTGAAAAATAATCAAGCTTACCTGACTGAGATAGAAAATCAAGGGCTGTAATTGTTCATAAAAATATAATGGATGCGACCACAAATTTAATCTCAAGTTCTCTAACATTGTAGGAAAAATTTGTAATGGATGAGCTGAAAGTCTCAACAAAAAATCACAAATTTCAACAACACAAATAGATTACAATGGAAATTCTCAACACCCAATTTTTCAATTAGAGTTTCAGAATGCAATTACAGAGAAGAAACAATTAAACAGAAAAACAGAAAAGGAGAAGAGAGGGAATTCAGAGATAAAATTTCCGAAAATTGGTTCTGCCTTCCCCAATTCAACTGATTTTCCCCCTCCTTTCTTCCATCATAACAAAATTCAACTCAACTAGGGTTCTAATTTCTAATTACAAAATTCTTATATGTCATACTCCAATATGAAAAAAAATACATATATTGAAACATCTCATTAACTTAATTTAAACAAAAAGGTCAAACGTACAGCAACGAGCTTTACAGATTCAATTGAATCAATTCAATGCACAACACAGGGTATATATTTCTTTTTATAAATATTTCAGAACAGATAAACAATCTGCTACCGGTTGAAATTTGAAAAAAGGGTTGACGAAGAGAAGAAGCTTCCTGCCTGCCGTGAAAGAGAAGAGGGAACACCGGAACAGAAGAAGAAGAGAAGAAGCTGCTTGCCGTGTCGCTGCCTGGCTGGTAGAGTCTTGGAGGCGGAGACAGTCGAGGAACTCGCAGGAGCCAACAGGTTTACTTATAAATAAATAAATAATCATTCGGAACTCTTTCTCAGCAATTCCTTTTCCGTCTTTCAGAAAAATATTCTCATCCATCAAACAAAGCACATCGTGACAAGACAACGTGCGAATTGAAAAAGAAGAATTATAAAACCACAAAATTTCCATCAAATTCAAGCTACAAAGCAGCATTAATTCATTGTAAGAAGCATTCTTTAGGCATTTATTGTTGCTATGTGCGTGTGTGTTTATAAATATAAATAATGTATGATAGAGATGGTGACCTTGAGAAAGAGGTGGAAGGAGCCGACAGATGAGGAAGCAAAAGAGCACCTTAACCCTGCTCGCCTAATTAGGTTTAGCCAAGTACGGAATCTACGCCAGTTTCTTTAATGGGACACAGGACCTACGGGGGCTGATTGTTGGGCTTGATGAATTTATTGAAATGGGCTTTTAGTTTTGATCAACTTACATGAATATCCTCGGAATCAGAGTAGAGATCTATTGAAAAATTATATGAAACATATTTTGAAAATAAAAAAATATTGTGTAAAGCTAAGTGAAATTTTTCAATTAAAAAGTGATATACAATCTCGCTTTTTTATTAAAAAGTGATTTTTTTAATTAAAAATGATGTACGTCGCTTTTTATTTAAAAAGTAACGTTCAATGCCACTTCATCTATTATGAAAATTTTAATTTGCAATTAACACAATTCAAAATAAATTAACATCTAAAAAAATTGTTATAAGCAAATTGACAGTTTAGCCAAAGATGTATTGTTATATTAGAAAATGATTGTATATGACATTTTAATTAATAGGTGGCACAACTTGCTAATGTCATTTTTTAACGAAAACGTCATGAATGCAAATGTCAAAAAATTTATGTTAACACCATCACTGTTGATCGGAGCTTATTAGTCATATACAAATCATCTATCATCGAATATTTTCATTGTCATTTTATAAGTTATCCTTGTCTCATCGAATTTATTTTCATCTCTACTTCATCAACATATCACATATGCTTGTCATTTGACAGCGAATAATTGTATGTATTGTGAACTCGTCATCTCTATCTCATATCTTTTTCAATGATATTAAATATTGAAGCAATTTAATAAAGTGATAGAAATTCTTTTAAAAAATGACACAAATTCAAAAAAGTTAGACACTCCAAAAGTGACAAATAATATTTAACAGCAATTAAAACATTAGAATATATTTATACGATAATTGATTTTTTTTACATATTATTTCTTTGTGATTATATTTAACTTTTATTAACTAACATATTAACTTAGATTTATAAGCTATTCAATAAAGTGACAAAAATTCAAAAAAATTGATAAATATTCAAAAAAGTAACAACTTCTCAAAAAGTTATTCTAGAAAATCACGAATAATATTTAATACTAACTATTTTGTCCAAAGTCTTAGAGTGTATTTGGGAGAATTTTTCCTAAGTTTAAAAGCACCCTTTTGAAAGTCAATCTTTTATTTTTGTGAGAAATTAAAATTAATGTTTGAAAGAGTGAATTAAAGAATTAAATATACTAATAGAAATAAATTCAATTTCCAATCTTAACTTAATTAATTTCACCGGTTGACTAATAAATCTTTGCACGCATGGGCCATTCAATTGATCTACAATAATTGAAAGGGTAATTATTACCACTACATTATTTATTCACCACACCATATTATAAATACACAACAATTAAGATAAAATTTTGATAAATACACCACATTAAATTCACAAATATACCCATAACTTTATTAACGAGTAAAAAAGAAAAGAAAAGGTGAAATACACTGGACATCACATTTCATTACCTTCCATTTCCCTGCTCTCTCTCTCTCTCTCCCCCCTCAATTACCGGCAACTCTGGCGAGATCTCCGTGTGCATTTGATTTCACTCGTTCATTAGCAAGAAACAAAGGAGAAAAGATGAGATTTTTCAACAAGATTTTCCATGTCCATCCAAGCCTTTTGTTATATGTTCTCTTGGTTTTCAATTTGATTTGAGTGCAGTCATTCCCTTACCAAATATTACCCTCAATTGTCATTTTCTTAACTGCTTACTCCCCCCCCCCCCCCCCCCTCCTTTCACCAAAAATTAATTATAACCAACACAATAAACTTCATGATTTTGTTAAAATTGCGGAAGCCAGAATGCTCAAGGATTTGACAAAAATTAATTTCATTACTTGCTTGAATCATCGATGTTCATCCAAATCATTCATAGTACAGACTTCCCTTCAAAATGAATTATATGCTCTAAAGCAAAACCCCAGAAAATACCAGCAAAATCATTATTTGAAAAAAATATATTTTTTAACAGTGATTTGACATCATTTTAACTACACATTCTTTAATAAAAAAATATTACACGCAAATCCAAAACATTTCTTTTTTTTAACCACACATTTTTCATCAATATATTATTTAAAAATGCATTTTCATTCCAATAATGTAGCTCAAACAAGGGCTAAATGATTGTGGTGGAATAAATAAAAAAATATTTTATGTAAAGAGAAAAAGAAATTTTAGAGGTATGTCTATTTTTATTTTTTTTTACATATTATTTCTTTATGATTATATTTCACTTTTATTAACTAACATAGTAACTCAGATTTATAAACTATTCAATAAAGTGACAAAAATTCAAAAAAATTGATAAATATTCAAAAAAGTAACAACTTCTCAAAAAGTTATTCGAGAAAATCACGAATAATATTTAATACTAACTATCATGTTAGTAAATAGAAACATATAATTTAGGGTAATTATCAGGGGCGGACCCAAATAGTTTGAACTGTGGGGTCAAAAATGAAATTTTTCTCGAACAACATATCATTAACAAAAATAAGACCATATGTTACTACAATAAGATTTGGGTTTGGGCTTTTTGGGCATTGGGCTAGCGAAATTAATTGGGGTTGGCTCACTACTTTGACAAAAAATTACCTTTTAAACAAGGGATAAAAAAATTTAAAAAAAAATTAAAACATCTAAAAAACTGTGAGGTCATTTGACCTCACACGACCCCATGTGGGTCCGCCAGTGGTAATTATATTACCATCACAATAAGTACTTGGTGTATCACATTTTTCTTATTTAATAAAATAACCGTGAGTGAAATGACATATGTATCTTATCTATTATTAACTAATATATTTATTCATTCCATTTCCATCCATACACCATAAAAGATATAACTCATTTAGCCCCTAGAGCATATCTCCCAGTGGCAAAAGGGAGGGCGGATAGGGCTCAGCGCGGCAGTGTACAGAGTTCGATTTCCCGCAAGGTGGAATTGGCTTTGTTGCAAGCGGGAGTTACCATATGGGTTAACAGCCTTGGCCTATCTATGTGCTCTCCACCCTGACTCTTGGGAGGCACATCCTGCGATTTACCTCCTCCACGATGGCCCAGGACAGGGTCAGTGGAGGCCCTTAAGGTTGGGGTTCAACATTTTTTTTTTTTTTATAACTCATTTAAACATACAAATACAAAGATCTACACAGCAAAAGATCCAAACATTATTCACTGATATGAAATTATCTGGAGTGATCTCATAAGCAAACCCTTGAGCTTTGCATATATCCATCAGCATGTTTCAATACCTCTCTCTCAACTTCATCTCTTAAGTCACCAAAGTACTGTACCAGCAGCATGTCCTTTAGCTTTAGGGTTTCCATATTTGGAGCTCTTTTTGGATCTTCTGTGCACTGATGGGGTGTCAATTGTGTTAATTTCCAAACTTGATAGCGGCTTTAGGAGTTTGAACCTTCCCTTTTGGGAATGTGAAAAGTTGAATGGAAAATTCTTTTTTGCCGTACATAAGAAAACGCTTCTGCAATTTGATGAAAAATGGGCAATCTTGAAATTGTGAAGTTGTATTGATAAAATTGTAGAATCTGGTGTAGTTTAAAGGAAATAAGGGAAAATTGCAACAATGGTCTCTAACCTTTCACTTTTTGTATACTATACCCTAATCTTCAATTTGTGCCACCCACTATCCCAAATCTTTCAAAAATATGTACCTGATGTCCAAATGGATGGAAACCGTCCAGTTGACCGTTCGTTAACTAGAAAAGTCAAAATTTAATCAATTTTGACCAAATTAGAATGGATAAAATTGTACTTTACATTTTCCTTATATTAAATATGTTAAAAAAATTAAATTAACAAACTAAAAAAATAAAAATAAATTTTTTTAAAAAATAAACATCTTGTCTACCACCACTGACTCTACTTCCACAAAATTAGTTGACCACCATCCCTCATCGTCGTTGGCAACAGTCACAACCATTGCCCATCGTCGTCGACAAAGCTACTACCATCGCTCGTCGCCACCAAAAAAGCCACCACCGCTTGACTCTCTTTCCTAAAAATCAATCCACCACTATTGCCCATCGCCATCTACAACGATCACCACCACCCAACTCTCATTTCCTAAAACATCTTATCCACCACCAGCCCACCCTCCTTCCCCAAAATTAGTCCATCCCCATTGGCCATCGTCGCCTATAACAGTCACCACCACCTAACTCTCTTTTTTCCCCCAAAACATCTTGCAGGATAAAGTTGAGATTGTAACTTATCATAAAATCCAAAACCCAAATCGAATAATCAAATGAAAAAGAAAAGAAATTAAGATCTAAGGTGGGAAATTTGGAAGGATCTTCTTGGGTTCGATGGGCTAACTCTGGGGATCGACCCCGAGGGTGGCGTCGAGTTGGATGGCATTGTTGGTGGCTGATTTTTTGAGTAAAGGTGAGAAAGATAGGTCGGTGCTAGCGTTTGGTTTTTTTATTTTTATTTCTTTTCCCTATTTTATTTTATTTTTGATTTTTTAAATTATTGTATGTGTATAATAGAAAAATTACCATTTTACCTATTTCAATTTGGTCAAAATTAGTCAAAGTTCACCTTCCTTGGAAAGCTAATGGTCAACTGGATGGTTTCCATCCATTTGGACTTTGAGTGCATATTTTTAAAAGGTTTGGAACTGTGGGTGGCACAAATTGAAAATTAAGATAAAGTCTGCAAAAAAAATGAATGGTTAGGAACTGCTGCTACAGTTTTTCCTAGAAATAAAAATTTCAAGAGGAAATCATTTTCATTACGTCTATGCTTTGCAATAATCATTAACAAGGCCTAAGGACAAATAGTGTCTACCATTGGAATATACATTCCTGAACATTTATTCTCTTATGGCAAGCTATATGTCATATTTGCTCATGGAGTTTTAATGCATACAATAAAAGTTTTGATAAAATTGAAAATAAAAAAGAAGAAAAGTTGTGCGACGTTGACAAAAAATATTGTCTACAAAGAAGAGTTATTGCAA